AAAAAAGCTATTTATAGTTAGGAAGGAAATTAGATTATTTTGTATTTACAAAAATATATTATTATTAAGGGTATTATTATAAGATGATAGCTTATTACTTATAATTATGTTAAGTTTTAAGAATCTATTATTAATTATATTAATAAGATAATTTTTATATATTATTATTTAATTATTAATTATATGTTTCTTTAAGTTTAATTGCATATTTATTAATTTATAATTTTTATATTTAATTAATTATTTTATTAACTTTATTATATTTATTACTATTTTTATTGTTATTATGTTTATTATTTTTGCATAATTAATTAATTTTTTTATTATATTTACTAATTATTATTTAATATTATATTAATTAGATTTTATATGTAACCATTTATTAAATAATTTTCATTTTAATAAAGTTTAATTTATTTTTTATCCAAAAAAAGTACATAATAATATTTTCTTTAAAATTTTTTATAATATAATAACATTCTAATTGGTTTATTATTTTAACATTAATATTTTACATAATTAAATTTTTAAACATCAATTTTATTATAAAATAAATAATGAATTTCAATAATTTTATTTAGTGCATTTGATATATGAGGAATTAGTTCTAATTAAATATCAATTTAATTTTAAAATAAAACAAGATCTTTCTAAAATTAACTTTACTTGAAATTACATGCAATTATTTATTTGAAAACCTAAATAAAACCTTTTAAAAAAATGTTTTCATAAAAGTATTTTTAAAAAAATTTAAATTAGATATTTTTATTTAATTTATATTTAACCTAAATTAATTAAAATATTTGTTTGTTAACATTATCCAATATTTATTATTCAGTTATGTTTTTTGATGAAATTGGTTTAAATATAATTTATTTTGGATTTATTTAATCATATATGTCTAAAAATGATAAATTATAAATATCTATTTATTCATTTATTAATAAATAATCGAAATAGAAAAGAATTAAAGATTAAAAAAAAAATTAATCTGAAAAAACTAATAAATAATCTATTTGTTTTGATAATACAGAAAAAATAAGAAAAAAAACAAAAATTAAAAATACATAAA